CCCGTGCTGGCTGGGCCAGATCGCATGGGTGTCCTTCATGCGTTGCATGATGGCTCCCAGGATGATCTGTTCCATGATCTTCCCAGGCACTGAGGTCAGGCTGACAGGCCTGTAGTTCTCTGGATCATCCTTACGGCCCTTCTTGTGGATGGGCATCACATTTGCCAGACGCCAGTCGGCCGGGACCTCCCCAGTTTGCCAGGACTGCTGGTAAATGATGGAGAGTGGCTCCGCAAGCACTTCTGCCAGCTCCCTCAGCACCCTCGGGTGGATCTCATCTGGTCCCATAGACTTGTTTGCATCTAGGTGTTGGAGCAGGTCCCTCACCATCTCCCTTTGAATTGCAGGGGCTTCGCTCTGCTCCCCGCCCCTGCCTGCTAGTTCAGGGGTCTGGATATTTAGGGAACCCCCTGTCCTACTACTGAAGACTGAGGCAAAGAAGGCATTTAGGACTTCAGCCTTCTCCTCATCTTTGGTCACTATGTTACCTCCCTTATCCAGTAGAGGATGGAGGTTCTCCCAAGACCTCTTCTTGCTATTAATATATTTATAGAAATTCTTTTTATTGTTTTTAACATCCAAAGCCAGGTTGAGTTCTAGTTGGGCTTTGGCCTTCCTAATCTTTTCCCTACATAACTTTGCTATACCTTTGTAATCTTCCTGCGTGGCCTGCCCCTTTTTCCAAAGGTCATAAATTCTTCTTCTTTCTCTAAGCTGTGACCCTATCTCTTTGCTCAGCCAGGCTGGCCTTTTCCCCCAACGGCTCGCTTTACAGCATGTAGGGATGGCCTGCGCCTGGGCTTTTAAGACTTCCTCCTTGAAAAACACCCAGCCTTCCTGAACACCTTTGCCCTTCAGGGATTCCTCCCATGGGACTTTTCCAACCAGTGATCTGAAAAGGCTGAAGTCTGCCCGCCGGAAGTCCAAGGTTGAGGTTTTGCTAGCCCCCTTCCTTACCTCTCTAATAATTGAAAACTTGACCATTTCATGGTCGCTAAGCCCAAGACGGCCTCCGACCACCACATCTCCCACTAGTCCCTCTCTATTTGTGAGCAGCAGGTCTAGTGAGGCACCTCCCCTGGTTGGCTCACCTGCCAGTTGTGTCAGGAAGTTATCTTCCATACACTCGAGGAACCTCCTAGCCTGCCTGCTTTCTGCTCTGTTGTATTCCCAGCAGATGTCCGGTAGGTTGAAGTCCCCAACCAGAACAAGGGCTGGCGATTGAGAGACTTCAGCCAGCTGCTTATAGAATACCTCGTCTGCCTCCTCATCCTGGTTAGGTGGTCTATAGCAGACTCCCAGCACCAGATCTCCCTTGCTAGCCTTGCCCTTCATCTTTACCCATAAACACTTAACTGTATCATTGCTGCAATCTATTTCCATACAAAGTCTCACTCCTCCAGGAGTCTGAAGTACAGCCGTGTTGTGTAGAAAGCGTACCTTTGTGTTTAACATAGCAATGATGGAAATCTCCCACTAAATTGTTGGCTCACTCTTTGAAGTCATGCAAAACTTTACCATCACCAATTTGATTGCTAGTAAGTTCTGTGGCTGAGCTACATATTTCATTTTCTGTTTTTGAATCTAGAGAGTATCATTATATGTACCATAGTTCTTTATGTGAGATGAGATGGTGACTATTCCTATCCATTTCCCTTATGTACTGCTGACTTTATGGGTCTTGAGGTTGGTCCTCTTTGGATTACTCCCTTTCACCCTCATCCATTCATCTAACAATCCGCATGTGTGATCATCTGGTGGCCTTGGTTAGGAACTTTATACTCATACGTTACCAACTTCAGAAAGGGCACCAGACACAACCATATCATGATGTTTCTGATTCACTCTAGACTTGTATTCATGCTATTTGGTTTTCCCTTTCACCACTGCTGAATATCAACAAGACATTTGCACAGAATTGCCTAATGTGTAACTAGGTTCTCTCTCCAGAGAGCTAACAGCTTGCAACAGTCTGACACTCCTCAGGTATGATTAGGATTGTTTTCTTCACATGGACTTTGCATTTATCTACACAGAATTTAATCTGCCATTTTATTACCTAGCTATTCAAAGTCTTGAGAACTTTTGCAAGCAGGTTTTCTTTTACGATGCTGAATAATTTTAATTTCAATTCAGTAAATCTTGCTACCTGCCAAGTCACCTCCTTTTCCAGATCGCTTGTGACTGCATTGACCAATTCAGGCCCTTGCACAGATCCGCTCTCCAGGAAACTTAGTCATGTTTTCCTTTGCTTTCTAGGCTTGACCACCTTGCTTAGAAATTTCAAAGCAAAGTTAGGATCACATCAAATTGCTTTCATTTAGATGTTACTAATTTGAGTTGTAAGAAGATATTTTTGTCCCCCAATATTAAAAACAAATTTCTGTGTGGCACTAAGATCAAAACCTGCTATCTTCAGGAAGAGTTTATGATTTCAGTGACATATTTGTTCTGAACTGTTTTCTATGTGCTGAGATCTAAAAGTGTTCAGTAACATCATTTAAAATGGGTTAATACGGTTTTGTGTATGTGTGATAATATTGTATTACTTAGTTGATTCAAATTCTTTTTTCAGTGTTGGTGTTAATCTGTTGTTTATTATCAAAAACAAAGTCATTAGTCTAATGGAGTACATCCTCCCTCTATGATTTCATTGGAGCATGTCTAATAAACCAAGGCATCTGAAATTGGAATGTAATAAAAATGCAGTATTTGTGTTAGTAGAATATTCCTGCTAAATGAATGCTGCTAATGAATCTGCTGTGAAGCTGATCTTGTAAAAAGTCAAAGGTTACAAAAGAATTTGCACAATACAAGGACAGCATTTAGTTCTACAGCAATAGTTTGTCATCTGTTAAAAACCTTCTGGATAAAATACATTATACTACTTTATATAAAACTTAGTGTGAAAATTCAGGTACCGTAAGTAAAATGTGTAAAGGTTGTTTCAGTTATACTCAAGTACTGTCTTCATTGTGGATAAATAAAAACTCAAGTGATTTGTTACGATTAAAGGACTTTGGAAAAAGTGGAGTGTCAGGGTTTCTGGGGAACTATGCTGATACCACTCAGCAACCATCTGCCTCTCCTTTCAAATAAAAAGGGACACTTTCAAATAAAAGGGGCCAGGAAAGGAGTGTGGCTTATAACTGGAAAGATCGAAATGTCACCTGATTACCTGGTCTATTTTCATTATACAAAAGGTAGGGAGAGAAGAGAAAATTGTTCTTCCAAAGAGCATCCCTTTCCCAGGCACTTTTCTCTGGGATCCAGTCTTTTTTCTCCCTGTGCTGTCAGTGTCCATCTGTTGTCCTGAAGGAAGCCATATTTCAGTTTTTCCAGCGCTTCTGGTTAAATGCTGACTCAGTATTTATGGTGTTGGTTCCTCTTCACTGTGATAACAAGGAAATTGCCAAACACTCATGTATCTGGCTCATCTCATCTCATGTGACAAGGAGAATACTCCCAGGACAGAACAAATGTGCTCTGACAGCTTTAGGTAGGAGTTCTGTGAATAAGGAGTATTTGAGTAATTTTGTAACTATATATATTTTTTCACATTCACTCTCACTTTAATATAACAGACAGACCTGTTTTATTAAAGGCAAATTTAAGATAAGTTAAGGTAGTTTTCAGCATTAGGCTGTTGCTTTTCTCCATGTTGCATGGAGTAGTATAGTAAGCAACTATGTTTGCTCAAGCAGAGTCATTTGGGGTATGAATGTGGTGGCAGAGAGACTATAGAAATTTTGTATTTTCTGATTTTCTAAATTTGACAATGTGTGTTTCTCATACATGCTAATGGATTTTAAATAATTGCCATGGTTCTTAGCTTTGTTAGGAGTTATTTTACATTTATTGCCCTATGCTTAGTATTATTTCTGGGAGCAACACCTCCATTCTAGAAAGAATTACAATAAAATGAGCTATAAGTTTTAAGTCTAAGACATTGTGTCATCAGACCTTACCTCTCTTGATTTCCTCAGTGTGTAAAAGACAAACTTCAATACACATCTCAAAATCTGATTATAGCTAAAGTTTACAACACCTTCTTGAGCAACATTTTCTAATTAGCATGTTTTCCTTATGTATTAATTACAGACCAGTCTGTTTGCAGATAAAAAAAAAGAGCAGCCTCTTCTCCTTTATCTACTACTTATGGGAAATAATTATGTTTCTCTGGAGTTAGTAGGTTGTTAGCTTAGCAAACCCTAGACCTGTGCTTCAGCTGTAAAATGTATCTCTTCATTATTTAGAAGATAGTACAATTACTAATTTAACAGAAGTAGAATGTCTTTTCTTACCACAGCAATACATTGGAATTACTCAGGGTGAGTTATAGTAGCATGATCTATAGCTTAATTGGTGTACTCTATTATATGTGTCCCTTCCACATACATGGTTATATTTCAGTTACTGAATTCTTTGTCTGCATGGAAGAAAAAATAGTTTTGTTGAAATTAAGTCCATTCAGTTTTTGAATGTTAAGTAGCGCTATCTATTTGGATATGTCCGTAGGAAATACAAGCGGCTTTTTGCTCCACAGACATAAATCCAAAGTCCTCTTAAAAAACAACATCAGTGTTGCTAACATTTCAGTAAGGATCTGTGCTAATAAGGGTTTAGATGTAGGTGGACACTTAGTGTTTCATTCATAGCAGCATTCAGCCTGTACCTAGGAACTCAGAAATATTAGCTGCAGACCTTCAGTTCAGTGTTTAGTTTAGTTTTGCAGTTAGATGAAGTAAAGATAAACCCAAGATATCTGCCATTCTGTTTAATTAGAGAACAATATCTGGTTACTGTGGACAATAGTGAAACCGAGACCAAAACAGTGTAAATAATTCCTACTGAATATTTTGAAGTTCTGTGCCTAAAAATAACCATAATCTATAAGAATTAGTAATGATCAATAGTACCAATGTGAGTTCTTCAGTGGATAGAAACGCTTCTACATTAATGCCTTTTTTATTTTTTTCTCTCTCTGTCTGTCTTTGCAGATGCAGCAATTATTCCATGAAAACTATGAACACAACCGCAAGGGTTACATTCAAGATCTTCACAATAGCAAGATTCACACAGCCATAACACTTCATCCAAACAAAAGACCAGCCTACCAATACAGGCTGCACAATTACATACTGAGCCGCAAAATTTCCGAACTGCGCTATCGGACCATCCAGCTCCATAGGGAAAGTGTCCTGATGAGCAAGCTCAGTAACAGTGAAGTAAATAAGGAAGATCAGCAGCTGGGAGTGATGCCATCTTTCAATCATTTCCAGCCACGTGAAAGGAATGAAGTCATCGAGTGGGAGTTTCTGACAGGAAAATTTCTCTATTCAGTGGCGGAGAACCAGCCACCCTGCCAGAGCCTGAGCAGTGTCCTGCGGGCTGCACTGGATGACACTGTGATGCAAGTAATGGAAATGATAAATGAGAACTCTAGATCTAGAGGAAGGCTCATTGATTTCAAGGAAATACAGTATGGCTACCGCAGAGTGGACCCTCTGCATGGAGTGGAGTACATCCTGGATTTACTGCTTTTGTACAAAAGGCACAAAGGAAGAAAAGTTACTGTTCCAGTGAGACGCCATGCTTACCTTCAGCAATTGTTTAGCAAACCATTCTTCAAAGAAGCAGAGGAGCTGGATGTAAGAAGCCTGCTGGAGGATACCAACACTGACACTCAATCATTCTCTTTTCTTTCAAATTCTTTAAAGATTTTTTCCTCATCATTCCAAGGCACTAAAGACATTGGGGGACACAGTGACAAGAAAATACATATTCTTGTCCCACTCACAGGAAGATTTGACATTTTCTCAAGATTTATGGATAACTTTGAGAAGACCTGTCTGATTCCCAGGCAGAATGTAAAGCTGGCAATAATTCTTTTCAGTTCTGAGTCGGGCCAAGGCTCCAGCAAACACGTAGAGCTAATGAAACAATACAGTATTAAGTATCCTAAGGCAGATATGACCCTGATTCCGATGGCAGGAAAGTTTTCTAGAGGTTTAGGTCTTGAAATGGCCTCATCTCGGTTTGACAATGGCACTTTGCTGCTGTTCTGTGATGTTGATCTGGTATTCACACCAGACTTCCTCCAGCGATGCAGAGATAACACTATTCAGGGAGAACAGGCTTACTACCCTATCATCTTTAGCCAATATGATCCAAAAGTAATATATGGAGGCAACCCTCCAGCTGACAGTAGTTTTGTTTTCACAAAAAGAACTGGATTTTGGAGGGAGTATGGATTCGGAATAACCTGTATTTACAAAAGTGATCTACTTACTGCTGGTGGATTTGATACCTCAATTCAAGGCTGGGGACTTGAGGATGTAGACCTCTTTACTAAAGTTATAACATCTGGCTTGAAAGCTTTCAGAAGTCAAGAAGTAGGAGTTGTCCATATTTTTCATCCAGTTCAGTGTGACCCCAATTTAGATCCGAAACAATATAAAATGTGCTTAGGGTCCAAAGCAAGCACATTTGCCTCTACCATGCAGCTTGCTGAACTCTGGCTACAGAAACATTTGGGTATCAGGTACAATCGAACTGTCTCCTGACATCTCAGCTGATTTGGCCTTTTTAGGGGAGTTTACCTCATTATTGTTATTATTTAATTTTACTGTTGTAGTTTTAAACTCCCTTCTTGTCTTCCAAAGTCTGTTGACCTCAAATAGGATGAGTCTGCTGTTCGCTGATGTTTCTTATACCTACTGAACTGGTGAAGTGAATTCCTTCTTATTTCTTTTATTCGAAATTCAGTCAAGTCACAGCAATCATATGATCCCATGGAGCACATCCATCACAAGAGACTGCATCAGAAGAATGTTGTCTTTCAGCTTTGGGATGCAGTATCATATTTGTTGCATTTCTCAGATTTGATGTGATACAAATATTTAATGGTGAAGGTACCACAAAAGTGCTTTATGCTTCTTCTGGGGATGGAACTCTATAAGATAAACTTGAGTTTTATAATTTATATGATGACTTATATGTATAAACGCTACTTTTCTTCATCTTTAGAATTTTTGAAGTAAATTAATAACTATGATTGTACCTTTATTTTTTTAAAAAAAAAAAAAAGAAAGAAAAGCTGAGGAGCTACATGCAGATACAACTGGTACTGGCTACCAAGGTCCTTAAATGTCTTATTATAATAACAAACTCCTCATTGTTGTTCACTCTAAGTGTAAATGAACTTTATTTTCCCAAGGAACAGGATTTAATAAAATGCTCATATACACTTTAGAAGATTTGTGAACCAATGTCCTTCATTTGCAGGCAGGAAGAAACTATGATTGACATGATTATTTATGATAAAGTGCAGGCATACAGTGTTCTTTGTTTGAAACACATAGTATAAGTTGCTGTTTCTTCTTTTATAATGAGTCTCTATACATAACTTTCTTTTATATTCCTTTCATAAAGCTGAACTTGATAGAGTGTTAGAAGTTAAAGCAGTATCTTTTTTTTCACATTTTCCATGAGTATTGGTACTTAGTAGCAATTTGTTGTTAAAATAAAAATAATCATAGAATAATTATTTAAGTTTCAAATTTTGCTATTGGTCAAAGTTCCTTGACAATATATTTATATTAATGGAGGTTATAAGTCTGTGTTAAAATTTAACTCTCTGGACAGCCTGAAGTTGTCATATTGTGGAGTCACAGAGTAAATGATTTAAAATGATACCAACATAAGAAATAATAAAATCAAGTTCTGTATTTTAGAAAAATATTTATATAGGGATATACATGTGTGTGTGTGTGTGCTTATATCCCTATATGCATAGATATATGTAGAGAGTAATTTCAAAACAAATTACTCAAAAGAGTTCAGGCAGCAATTTGGTAATAATCATTGTTATTTTTGCTACATGCTTGGAACATTTCATGTTATACTGTGGTAAGAGCTCAACGGCATTCAAGAAACTATTAGAATCCAGACAAACTTAAATTAGTAAACAGGTACATCTCATAACCTCAATACCCTTGATTTCAAACTATATTTCAGATAGATCTGGGCAAGAAAAAGTAAGCAATTACTGAATTTGAGTTTTCAGATACTTAAATACATTTTCAGCTGTAACTGACTCCTTCTATGTTTCCTTTCAAACACCAACCAAGAGACTGGAATTCACTGACACTTCTATCTGTATGAAGATATCCTGATAAACTTCTTAAGGAAGGGTATGTAGGTCAGTTAACGTCTCTTATCTGCGGTTTTCTGTTCTGGATTTAGAATGCAAGAAAGAAGACATGCCTGAAAAGGCATGAGTAAACTCAGAATTCAAAGGCTGGCCACAGCTTTTTGTATGTTTTAAAAAAGGCTATCCCCATTACCTTGGAGAAGGTGGCACTTGTGGTAGATGTGAACAGACAGAAGGTAATTCGTGCTTGTTTGCCCTCTCCTGCTCCCCAGGAGAGCTCCTGGCTTGTTATTCTCCTTGAGGCTCTTGCCTTCCTAGCCCAGTATTGTTAGCTCAAATGTCTGGAGAAAGTAAAATTCAATATTACTTATGAAATAATTACCAGAAACCTCTCTTTAAATTTAGTGTAAAGGTCATGCTTTGTTCAACTAGAGAGCCAAGAGCAAGGAACTTGCAATTTATTTGCTCAATCTTGACTAACTGATGCACCTGAGACTGTAAATATCTAAAACTGAATGCCTGTTGATAAATGTTGAAAAATGAGAAAAAAATATTTCTAAAAACATCTAAGGAAATCATTGTCTGCTGGGATGTATTTCAGTGTTTATTTCAATTGTGTAACTTAGTGGCCAGAAAGTATTTGCTCAGCTCAAAGTAAAATAGTAGATTAGAATAAGAAATTAAGCCAATCATTCACTGGGGATAAAGATGTATACAGAGGGCTTGCAGGATCAGGTCCTACATGATATAAGCAAACTGCTAGTGTTTACCAGTACAAATATTTATTTAGTGTCTGACTGATTCATTTGTTTATATGATGAATTACTTTGTTAAAAACTTGATTATAAATGTTTATTATGAAATATTGCATTTTCTTTTGAAATAACTATCCTGAGATAACTTGAGAACTCGTGTTAGTTTGTTTAAGGAATAATATGCCTTCTAAGGAGATCCTATTAAAAGAAAAAAAAAAAGCACAAAAGCGTTAGAGTAATGTTATGGATGTATAGATTAAGATGGGAATGTTTGTGCTAATTAACAGTTTGCTTTTGTCTAGTCTGAATCATAATCTTGATTGTAAAATGAAATTTCTGTGTGTATGATGTCCTTTTGTAAATGCATACCTAATGAATTCAGAATAGATAATGACCATTTTTTCTGAAACCTCCTTATCCTGGGAATAGGTTCCCTGGTTTCATGGCTGGGAAGTGCATTGTGAACTGCTTGCACTTTGGCTTTTAGACACTGTGTTTCTTAAAAAAGATAATAATATAAATCTCAGCAATTCCCACCCAGAAACTTCAGAATTCCCCATATCACCCCCATCCTGAAATGTTTTCCCATTCACAATACTTAATTTAACAGAGAATTTGCATCCTCTGGATGAAGGAAAAGCATTAGGTTGGGCTTCCTAAGACTTGCTGGTTATACTCTGCATCGGGGTGCTGGTTCTCAAGCAGGAGAAAGGTAGAGGGCCAGGGGAGGTGTGCGGCTCAGCCATAGGAATCAACACCTTCTGCCCAAGTCAGTGCCTTAGTGCCATCAGCACTGCCAGATGTCTCTCCTTGAAGCTGCTAATACACAAGCCAGTGCAAGAGGAGGGCTGTGTTTGCTGCCACCAGCCGCTTTTGGGAAGCAAAAGGGCCATTTTAATCAGCGGTTGAGAGGAGTGAAAGGAGGATGCCAAACTGGGCAAATTGGGTTGAGGCAACAGAGTATCTTGTGCAGATCCTGTGTCTCCTTGTCCCCAGGTGGAAAGGGAGTTTGATTCCACCCCTCTTCTCTATTTCCTTTCAAGGGACATTGTGAAGGAATGGGCAAACCCAGCAACCCTTCCACTCAGTGGGGCTGGTGGACCTGGAGCACACACTTGGACTCATCCCATAATATGGGACAAGGGGGGAAATGGCTTCTGGAAAAGCAGTACAGAGAGAGGCACCTTCTTCACTCACCAAAGACCAGAAAGATGTGCACAGAAGTGCCTTTTGGAGCCTTTGTAACAGTGCCTCAAGACCCTTGCAAAAATTTTAATGCTGGTAAATGGCTCACAGGCATGTACTGCCTAAGGAACTTGGGAGACTTCCAAGTAGCATGAGTTAACAACCGCCTTCTTCAAACACAGCAAATAAACTAAAATGTGCTTTTGTTTTTAAGAAGTAATTCTAGTGACTAGTTAAGATGTAGTTTGCCACACATAAGATTTTGCTCCAAAGAACAATGCTAGCTTTAAGATATAGACAAAACACATGTGCAGTTTACACCTGATTTTCCTGCAACTTAAAATTTTTTGGAAAATATGTGGACTAAGGATTGGTGAGCCACTGACTGGAGTAAAGTTACATGTTTTTGCTCTATTTTTAGAAGATAACCAGATGGGAAGAAAACAAAAAATGCCTGTGGTAGATACACACAGAAATCACCCATGATGTGAGGGTAGCAGTGAAGATTATCGTCCTAAATTGAAGCACAATGAGAAGTTTCAAAAATGTTTTAACTATTTACAATAACTGAATATTACTGAAGGTTGTACTCTGTCATAAGACTGTAAGTGACATATAAAGTTAAATCAGTCCATTTTTAATTCTTTAATTTCTTAGAATACTTTTCTTTACATTTTCTTCTGTATCATTTGTTCATTTGATTAATGAGCTGGCTTTTCATGACTCTTTCCTTCCTATTTTTCTTTTCCTTGGGTTTTCCCATTTGCAGTGTATATTACTACAGTTTTTGAAACTTTATGAGCTAGCATGGTATTTCTGTTATGGCTTTTTGATGTCACTGCTGTAGAAAACTGCTGAATTAGAGTATTTTGCTGAATGATTTCCCAGTCCTGCTTACAGTTGTTTCCATTTGCCTGTCACTGTAAGTTAGAAGTGTTCTGAATATTATTACTTCATCCCTTGCTCTGCTGTACTTCCCACTGGAATCCCACCAAGGCAAGGAAATGCAGAAACTTTCCAATCCTTAAGCCTAGGAAAATAAATAGGATCTGGGGATTTGCTTGATCTCTTTTTTGTTTGTTTGTCTGGGTTTTTTTGGCCTTCAAACCTTTTATCTAGAGTTTCAGAAGCATATTTATCAGTTCCATAATTTTAATAAAATAAAAAATGGTCATTAAGGTGTAAGACAGCACATGTGTAGACTGTATGATTTTAACTGTAATTTTACATCCTTATTTTATGGGCACCTAATTATTCAACAGATGTTTGCCATTTGTGAGAACTTTGAAGATAAATTAGAAGCATCCTTGCTGATTTAGTGTTTATTTATCATTAGTGGAAAGCTTAACCATGTAAGCAGACACCAAAAGATGTACTATATAATGTAGGCCACTGGGTGTTGTTTCTGGTAGGAAGATCTCCTCAGCTCTTTGTAGGATGCCTGTAGTGTAGTAGTGTTCTTCACAAATCGGCCATGTCTAGCAATAGTTTTAAGGGACTGCAAAGCTATGGGCATAACATCCAGCTTCATACAGCAGTCAAGGCTTATAGGACTTACCTAAACCTGTGAGAGACTGATGCTCGGATTCAGAGGGACTCTGGTGTGCCATAATCAGATGGTAGGTACATAGGTCAAATACATCTACTGCTGCAACTTCCGGGTGTACCCACTGAAGGCATCCCTTTAAAAAGGAGGCCCTAGCATTGCAATGGGGTCTGTGAAGATATTTCTAAAACAGATGTATGCTATCTAACATAGGTGCCAAATTCTTTTACTTAGAGCAAGTGAATTGCCTTTAGGTGAATTAACCAAAAAAAGGTTAGAAAGAATAAAATGAATGATGAAAAAAATATGCTTGTGATTAATTTCTATTATTGGTTGTATGGGGAGCCTTCATAAGTTACCTTAGCCCTTCCCTAGGGTAATATGGAGCAATAAACTATGCTTTTTTTACACGTTAGTGTATACACTGCTGACTAAAGAAAAGATAAGCTAACTAAATGCTTTGAAGATGGTGGTTGAACCATGAGTGACCAGAGAAAAATGCTAAGCATAGTTCAACCTGAAAACCTAAAGTCTGATCTGCTTCCTGGTAAGGACAATTCTCCTAGCTGGCTGTCTTGGACAGACATAAGAAGTAGAAGCCTGAGTTTGTACACAGCATCATGGTATCCAGGGATCGACCTTCATGCTTCTAGTGTCTGATTGCTGGGAGCAAGCACGAAGTCCAAACAGAGTTAAAGAAGTCCACCAGTTAAAGAAAAAAAATGAGGAATGCAGTTAAGTGATGAATGCAGTAGTCTCATGGATGACAGGATAGATAGGAAAGATGTAAATCCAGAGAGATGTGTGTGTCATAGAATCATAGAATCGTCCAGGTTGAAAGGGACCTTAAAGATCATCTAGTCCAACCATCGTTGTTATGTTAAGATTTTAATGTAGAATTCAGCTTTCGTGTGTTCCTGGAAGTTTTCCACCTTGCTTTGAGTTTCTCTTTTACATGCATTGGCAAATGCTGAAACCATCTGGATTAATACCAAAACTATAGAATTTTCACACCTGGTTTATTCTGATCAGCAAGCCCAAGTTCACTGAAGTGATACTTTAACTGGCAATTATGACTTTTTCTTGTTCTCTTTTTAGATGTGACAAGTTTTGTTGGTATTTAGCTGGGAGTGAGGTCTTTGACAGCTTTGTTCTATTTGTGTCTAAGATGCTGTAGTCTTTTCAACTTCATATATTACACTGTTATGTGGGACATAACTGCTTTGGTTTTTTTATTTTTTTTAATTAATTTTTGAACTGTTGTGTGGGACATCACTGCTTTAAATGAGATAAGCAAAGGCTTTTCTACAGTAGTACACAGCTGGTGTAATCTAGCAACCAAGCTACATGGTTGAAATGAAGTATATTCACCTATGGTCTTTTATTTGCTGCATTATGATGGGTTTGCTTGATGAGAAATCCAGAATGAATATGAGTTATGGCTGAATATTTTCTGTTGTGAAAGCTGAGCAAATTTATTTAAATAACTAGGGGCAGCTGACAAGTCATGCACCTGTCATGTGCATGAACATGTACCGTGTCTGGTATCCAGAAAATACAGGTGTTTTTAACAAAACAAGTTATAGGAAGATGTCTCTGATAAAAGTGAATGAGAAATGCAGTGTTTTCCACTGCAGAACTGCCGGTAGCAGAACATCTGTATTGCTTGTAGAATTATAACAGTCATAACTTCTACAATGATCAATAGGTGTTTAAGTGAAGAACTCAAGGGTAGATCCCCAGATCATGTCCTTATGTATGAAAGAGACCAGAGAGATCAAGATTTAGTCTATGACACTGTTTGAAGAGATCCTACTCTAGAAATATGAGGCTGGGCAAAATCAGGAGCATACAAGGAACCAAAGAGAAGATTCCTTTTCATCTTATTCTTTGTGCTTAACATGTTGCTGTGCTTCACAGGGAGCTACCAGGTCTGCCTGAATGCAGCTCAGCACCAGGTAGGGAAGCCCATTCATTAAGTCTTGAGAAAAAAAAGCAAAAATGCTGCGTATGTGACAGGAGCAGGCACTGGTGGCTGATGGGAAAGAAAGTGTGTGGGAAATTATATAAGGAGGCAAGAAAATTGTCGTGGGGTTTTTTTGTTTGTTTTTTTTTTTTGCTTGTGAAGTTGAACTTCAGCCTGTGGATAAGCAATTTTGCTAGTTTTGATATGTAAAGGCGAAAACCAGAGGGAGAAAGAGAAGGACATAAATTTGAAAGGAAGGAATTACAGACACAGTGCAGAAAACAGAATACCTGGGTAAACACAGAATTTAATTAAAGTAGAAAGAAAAAATAGCATAAGAAATTGAAAGAAATCAACCACAGGAAGAAAAGAAGAAGAATGTAGAAATGTTTAATAAAAACAACTGAAGGACTCGTGTAGATGTAACCATAACTCTTTGGGTACAGAATGCTTTGTAGTGCTGGTTGAGAAACATGGGAAGCATGTTACGGGAAACATCGCTACAGCACTGCTCCCTACGCCTTTACCTGGGGGTGGCTTAAGGAGCAAATACCAAGCTAATATTAAACTAGTCCTACTTTTGTTTGCTTTCTATCAGAGCCTAAAATACCTGCATTTGTTTACATATTGGTTTGCCCCAACCCTGTGTGGTAAATATCTATTCCAATGCTGTGTTACTGGGATTTTTTTTTCTGAACAGAGTAAATAAGGTGGGTCTTTACTGCTAACAGTTAAAGCTTAGTAGTAGAGAAATGGTGCTACAGTACATCTTCTGAAAAGAAAATTTTTTTTTTTTTTTTTTTTTTTTTTTTTAGATTATAATGTTCTCTAATTACAAAAAGCTGGGACTTGGAGGGAACTTCCACAGTCTTGTCCTATTTTCCTTCCGCTTCCTATTCCACCTTCAGTTTCTAGCTTCTGCTGTACCTAGGTACTACTGACAAACTTAGAGGACTATCTCCTTTCTAGTATCACCAGACTGAGGAATTAAATTTTGGGCACAAACTTTGTTGTGAGTTTATGTATTTAATGCAAAATTATATATTTCATGTAAAATTATTTTGAAACACCACAGCAGTTTATTCATACAAATATGATTAAGTTAAACACTGTTATGATATCACTGCTGTGTAAAACTGCTGAACTACAGCACTTTGTTGAATTAATTCCCAGCTCCTTTGCAAACCATTTCCATTTGCTTGTCGCTCTCTTTAAATTATCCTAAATTTTATTACTTCTCTCAGCCTCTTCTCATGACATCTCAAGTTTCTTGCCAGTTACAGGAACACAAAACCTTTCCAGATTTTAAAGTGCATCTCCAAAATTAGGGCTGAAGCATACAAGACTCTGATTCAGCAGATGCTAAAGGGCTCAGTGACACAGAGCAGTGAACCTATGAAAATAGAGAGAGAAAATGTTAAAACAGAAGGGGCTTAGCTCCAGAGATATATATCAGATTTCGTGAAGTCACGTTTTTATAATAATCTTTTTCCTTCTAACACTCATGACAACTACATTGCTTTATTACTTAACTGCTAAGTGTTGTCTGACAGTAGTATTTGTGAAGTGAATTAAAATATCAGGAAAGGTGCTTGGAAGAGAAACAAGGAGGAAAATTGCACCCATACTTCTCTACTGCAAGGTCCTCCCAAAGTGCTGGGATCAGCAAAGCCTCTGGAGGGAACCGTCTTTTCCATAACGGGGCTGGATTCCCTGAAGATGAACAAGCAGTTTACTGAAAACTTTCATGCTTGTTGTACTGGACATCACACACAATCACAGAATGGCTGAAATGGAAAGAGACCTCTGAAGATTTTCTAGTCCAAATGCTTATTCAAAGCAGAATCACCTAGTGCAGGTTGCACACAATTGTGTGCAGTTGGGTTTTGAATATCTTGAGATGGAGAGTCCACAGCCTCAAAAGGCAACCTGTACCCATTTAACCAGACCCACTGGGCCACTACTGAGAAGACTGTAGTTCTGTCCTCTTTATCTCCCCCCATCAGATATTTATACACAAATTTAAGATCCCCATGAACCTTCTCAAAACTCCCAACTCTCTCAGTCTTTCCTTGTATGAATGATGCTTCAGTCCCTTAGTCATCTTTTGGCCCTTCACTGGACTCACTGCAGTATGTCCATGTCTCCCTGTTACTAGCGCTGATTAAAGAGGAAGGATTACCTCCCTATTCCTACTTGGAATGGTCCTTCTAATACAGCTCAGAAAGCTGTCGGCTTTCTTTGCTGTGTGGGCATATTGTTGGTTTGCTTGCTCTCCACCGGGACCTGAGGTCCTCCTCTGCAAAGTCACTTTCTAAGCCTGGTCAGGTCATAGTGTGTACTGTTGCCTCGGATTATCCCTGCCTATAAGCAGAACTTTGCACTTCCCTTTCCTGAACTTCCTACAGTTCCTGTTTGTGTATTTCTCCAGTTTGTCAAGATCCCTTTGAATGGCAGCAC